AGACTAATGAGATTGCTCTTATAAAGTTAAAATGATGATTGAGATTGAATGTTTTATGGAGAATATGAAATTACATATCAAAAGACTTGCACAATTATTATTTACTCCATTCCTATATTGTGAATTGTGATAGATAGACATGTTTTACTCAATTTTTAAGAAAATATTAATATCTTATTTTAAAAATTATCCTTATGACAAAGGTATGTTCGACCCTTTAAAAGTAAAAATTAATGGATGGTTGATGTTCAATAATTGTTGAGAAATATAAAATCACTTGTTAAAAGACTTTGAACAATTATTATTTACTCTGACCTTATTTTGTGATGAATAGATATGTTACACTTGATTAAAAAAATAAAATAATATATATATATATATATATATATATATATATATATATATATATATATATATATATATATATATATATATATATATATGTAATATTTTTTTAAAATGGTACGTCCTAAAAGAAGGTACATTGGACCCACTTAAAAGTTAAAATAATGGTTAGGATTGAATGATTGATAGGGAGTATAAAATCACGTGTCAAAAACTCATACATGTATTATTTTATTTACTCCTTATTTCGTAATAGGTAATTGTGTTTCATGAACTATTTAGAAAATAAATCCTATTCTTACCTACTGAAACACAAAGAGTCGATATCACATTACTAAAGTTCGAATCCACAACCCCACATCCTCCTACATACGAGAGCAATTTAGTGCCACTAGACCATAAGGTCCTTAACAAAATAAATCCTATTCAAAATTATCATTCTACAAAAGAGGTGCTTTAGAAACACATATAAAACTAAAATAAATAAATAAATGATAAATTCATTAAAGTAAAAAAAAAGTTAATAGTATTTAAATTATGAAAGTCGCATTCCAAAAAAAATTATGAAAGTCAACATCATTTTAAAATGAGCTAAAAAGAGAAGTACGACAAATAAAGTTTAACAAATGAAGTTTTTTATTTTTAATATTTATTGATCAAATTAATTAATTTTTATTGATCTTCATTAACATTTTTTGTAATAATTTTTAAATTTGAAACCTTATAGTTAATAGTATTTTAAATATATTTTCTATATACATACATTTTAAACACCAGTACTAAATTAAAATAACTTAAATAAAATTTAGTCATCCACGACCATTATATTCCCTCTCATCTTTATAATAAAAATTGAGGGATAAATGATCAATTATTACTATTGCTCCAGTTACAAATATTAAAGAAAACTCCTTTTAAACCACTTAGATAATTTAGTGAACATTTAGATATTAAGGGGCTGTCCATGTCACCATGAAAGGCATGGGATTTGTCGGCAAATTATGCCGTGTAACCGTGTGCACCATGCATGGTGCATACAGTTGCAAAAACAGCGTCGTTTTGACTAAAAACGCGCGTCTGAATTTTTAAAGTTTCGATGGCTGTTAACGGTGTTATGTTGTGCATAATTTGAATTATATATCCAGAATGAATGAACTATATATACCCAGAATGAATGAACTATATATCCAGAATGAATGAACTATATATCCAGAATGAATGAATTATATATATCCAAAATGAATGAAATATATATCCAGAATGAATTAACTATATATATATATATATATATATATATATATATATATATATATATATATATATATCCTGAATGAATGAAATATATATATATCCAGAATGAATGAACTATATATATAGAATAAATGAACTATATAGTTCAAATTATGCACAACATAACACCGTTAACAGCAGTTGAAACTGAATTTTTTTTTTTTAAAGTCGAACTCGCGTTTTTAGTCAAAACGACGTCATTTTTGCAACAGTTGCACAACATAACGCTCCGGATTTGCCTGCAATATCCACAACTCCAACGTCTCATGTCAATGTTTGGTATGGTTGTGAGAGAAACAATTGAAGAGGAAAAAAAGAATAAAAGAAAATGAAAAATAATCAAAACGCTTTAAGCAGATCCTACTTGTATATATATAGTATTTCTTTCATTTACGGGGAAAATACGTAGCTGCTACCCAAAAGTGCATTCAAGGTGAAGTTTACAATAAGAAGAAGGTGAAGTTTACATTGTGATTCTAATCGGTAAAAAACCACAAGGATATAAACCAACTTAGGTTGTCCATAGTTGACTGTTTCAAATCAAGAAAATCAGTAGACAGCTCCCACTATAAATCGAAATTGTAACTTTATGGTTACCAAGTCAATTGTCTAATCAACTTGCTAGGATTGTCTCTGTAAATAGCATTTCTGAGCTTAGTTAACCGGAAGACCAATTTGATTAATGTGTCTTACATGGTCTAATAACCAACAATTAAGAGATTAAAAGTATATATTTTTTTAGACTGTAATTATTATCTTCTTATGTACGGAGTATTTTTTATTTTTTTTATTAAACATTTTTTGTTGAATCGAATCTTTCAATCTAGTGCAAAAAGGGAAAATTTGTGTATTATTACAAATATTATTGTTTTTATACAATATGGTGTCTAATGTTTACTTTTAACTTAAATTTTGTTTAATTATAGTCTTAATAGTTATATAGTATAGTATTTACTAATGATCTTGTGGTCCAATGGTACCAATATAATTAAGTTTTTTTTTTTATATATGAGAAGTTATAGGTTCGAGCTTCAGTGTAGGCAATATTGGCTCTTTGTGCTTCATTTGGTTGAGAAATAGATACTACATTGTGTTGGGTTTTTCTTTCTTTTGGATCCAAAAAAAAAAAAAAAAAAAAGCATTTGATTACATACTTTGATTAGAAATTCTCTCTAAAGAATTTGAGATTCAAGATATACTTTGAATTCTCTCTCAAGATAATTCAACTTTGACATTGATCTTAAGAGAAACTCATTCATCATTTTATCATTTTTGGGACCGTATCACATATTAGCTGTGGTGTAACGGTAGTAAATATGAAGTCGGAATGTTATTGTGAAGATCTCCAACTTTTGTCAATTCAACTATATGGTTCTTATAGAGTGGATATTGTACAGTATGGGGTTATATCTCGCTCTTACCGTTTTAGGCATTATGTGATATAGTATATTGAATATAATGCTCACTTTTTAGTATACTAAATGTTCATTTTAGTATAATGAAAATTTATTTTTTGGTAGTATACCTAAAAATGAATATTTTATAGACTAAAAGTAATTTTTCAATATACTAATAATAAACATTATTATATCAATGGTCTATTTTGTAACTTTGTAAGGTAGAGCATGCATGGTCAATAGTATAATGATTAATATATATGACTTTGAATCCTATGAGAATCACCCAAATTGATTGATGAAATTTGTCGATATTACTTTTTACATGAGAATTTGTTCTTAAATGCATTAACTGCATTAACTCTCCCCTCTTATATATATATATATATATATATATATATATATATATATATATATATATATATATATAAAAGTGAATTAATTTTACCCAATCATATAAAAGTAGTCTTGAAATGCTTTTAAAAAATGTATACTGAGTTATTAATATCAAAATATGTACAAATTAAATTTTAAAATATTTAGTAGGTTATAATAACTATACTGTACTATTTAAAAAATAATAATAATAACTGTACAGTACTGAGTATGATTGTCTTGCTTGTCCCACCATTTGCAAAGCCTTCAACTAGAGTAGTACTATAATATCATGATGAAATAGGAGTTATTATTGTGGCAGATTTTGATTGATTAAAAAAAAAAAAAAAAAGAACAACAATTTTACAGTACATTTATCATTTTTTTTATTGCTGTTAAAAGTAGAGGTAGTAAGAACTAAGAAATAGGGCGAAAAGAGTAAATACCTAAAATGGTCCCTCGACTATAGCTAAATTTACAAATTGGTCCTCGACTTTCAATTTCAACCAATTAAGTCCTTAACTTTGTAATTTTAACACAATTTGGTCATCTGTCTATTTGACCGTTTGTTGACTGTGATTTTTGAGGATATATATGTAATTTCATGGTTCATCGTCGGGTTTTTAAGGTTCCGGTTGCATTTCAAAACCGCACTGTTACATTTGAATCCACTTCCGAAAGCAATCTACCAAATCCGGTCGCCTTTCTTCATCCTCCCTTTGGATTCAACGTAGCTGAGTTCGTACCAGAGCGAAGAAGACGACGTGTTTTCGAACCGGTGCAACGTCATCCTGGAGGCCTCCACGTGCTCCGACGAGGGCTGAAGGTTCTTCTGGAGATCGTCGATCACGGTCAACAAATGGTCAAATAGATGGAGGACCAAATCGTGTCAAAATTGCAAAGTTAAGGACTTAATTGGTTGAAATTGAAAGTCGATGACCAATTTGTGAATTTAGCTATAGTCAAGGGACCATTTTAGGTATTTACTCTTTGGAAAAAAAATGGGTTCTATTACATAGACTCCCAAAATTCTACTCCCTCATTTCTACTCCCTAAGGTGGCAAATCAGGATTGGTTATTTTTATCATGTGGGTCCACAAAAAAATGTCTACATCAAGAGCATGTGAGAGGGAGTACAAGTTGGGAATTTAAAATGGGAGTACACCAAGTATTTTCCGAAAAAAAATTAATTTTGGCTGATTTGACCACTATTAATTGTTTGATTTAGTTAAAATATCAATATAAATGTTTATCAGGACGGACTATGTGGTCTAATGGTACTCGGGTTGGACTGTCATTTAGAAGATTATGAGTTTGAGCCTTAGTGGAGATGTTATTGGTTTTTTGTGTTTCAGTAGGTTAGTTAATTAGCTTTTTGCAATTCAAAAAATTATTCCAAGCAATTTTTTCAATTAGTTTTTTTAGAAAAGAAATTATACCAAACGACTATTAGCTAACAGTTAATTTACCAAAACTTTTTTATAAAAGTTAATGTTATCATATAGTTATACACTCTAATTATCAACTAACCGTCATTTACCAAACAGACATCTTCTCTTGACTACTCTTCAGTAATCACTATAAATATCAGCTTTCCCATCTCGAATTGCAGCATCAACATATACAAGCATTTCAATCTTCAAAAGCTTTTATGTTTGCCATGGCTTCTCTCCCCGCCCGACTCATCATCCTCCCTCTCTTACTCCTATTCGGCACTTGCAACGCTAACCTAATCCGCGGCGGAGATACGCCGCAGAAACCGTTCGATTTCTTCGTTCTTGCTCTTTCTTGGTCTGGCACCTCTTGTTCCAGCGTTAAGGACTGCTGTCCCACCAACGCCTGTTGCAGGTATCTATCTAATTACTATTTACCACACACCCTACATGTATAATATATACTACTTTTACCATATATTTCTTGCTTTCTCATAAAAACTATATCCATTTTTGCAGCTCCGAGGTTGCTACTGGGTTCACAATCAGTAAGCCCTACAGTGTTCTTCTTATTAATTCCTAGCTTTTATATATATATATAAGAGATAGTCAGGATCAAATGAAAATCATTCTTTCCGTGAGAACTTACGTACTACCTTGTGCAATCTGAAATGTTGGCTTGTTCAACTGTTACTATCTGGTTGTGTAACTTGTAATGTGATTATGCACCTCGAGAACGACTATTAAAACACAATAATGTAGAGAACTCAAAGGGGTAGTTCAAGTTGTCAAATGAGCTTTTTCGTGGGGACTATTGGTGGTATAATCCGGATTCGATTTTCACGAATGACAATTCCGGCCTCTTGGACAAACTCTCATACTTCTCGGAACTAATGGAGATTAGTCTGCTGAACCTAAAGTCCTAGACCAGAAGACAGATGGAGATAGATTCAGAACACCTCATAGTTTACACAAAATAAATACTGTAAAGTATTTTCCAAAAAAACACTGTGACAATTTCTTAATTAACTTGAATTTACATTTGTACGTGCAATCTATAATACCTGATTCTGCAGTTCGCACATGGAGCCTAGTACTCATGTGATCGCCCACCGTGTGTATATATATATATATATATATATATATATATATATATAAGGTAGGTTCATTATATAATATTATATTGTTTCAATTGAAATGCAGATGGTTTCTGGCCAGATTACAATAATGGGAGTTGGCCCTCCTGCTGTGATGGTCCCAAATATGACCAAAACTCGGTATGTGGCCGGCAAATTATTATGTGGACCATGGTCCAAACAATGTTACGTGGATCATAACAAAAAGTACATTTTTAATATATTAAATGTACATTATTTTTGTATTAAATGTACATCATATAATATAATGTATACTCATAACAAAAATAATGTACATTCCTTGAATACAATATACATTATTTTTGTACTGAATATACATTATTTTTGTACTGAATGTACATTATTTTACAATAGACAAAATATGGTCCATACAACTTGTGTGGACCATGGTTCACACAATAATGATTGCTACAATTGCAGTTGGACTTTGGGGTTAAAATTTAATTAGATAGCCCATCCAATCCAAATTAACTTGTAATATAAAATGAATTGAACGGATTAATTAAAAATTAAATGTGGTATATATATATTAAATGTTGGGGATGGGCTTAGTTTTTTTTTTTTTTTTTTTTTTTTTTTATTGTTCTTTCCAAATTAAATTAGGTGTTTTTATTATATTATTTTATCTCCATGACGTAGATCTCAATTATATCGGGGTTCTTGAACACCTATTGGCCATCGTATGATTGCATTTCCGCCCCTGCTTGTGGACGTTTCATCGAATCAGATTTGGCATTTGAGGTACATACTATACTATACGGTTTAGTAGTGTTTTAATTTAATTTGTCATTTCCAACATTATTGAATTAGCTTAATTTGTTATATACTTACATGTCATTAAACTAACTTAATCTCTTTGCTTTTAATTTGCCTTATGGTTGGTTGACTACTGGATGGAATTTTTGAACAATTGTTCAGTGGGGTAAATAACTTTAATTTCTCAATACTTTTACTTTATATCTTTAATGAGAAGCTAAGCTAGCTAAGGTAATTTAAGTTAGTAGAGAATATCATATCATATGAATAATAATTACCATTTGAATTTAACAGACACACATGGAAAATGTGCTTCTCCGGTACTTTCCAATCAATATGAATACTTCTCGACGGCTCTAATGCTCTACTTCAAATACAATATTACTATAAGTTAATTATATATATATATATATATATATATATATATATATATATATATATATATATAGAGAGAGAGAGAGAGGCCAGTGTTCGTGTAGACAGATTTGGACTATTGAATACTTGAGATCAATGGTTTAAATTTAGTCAACTGTGCAATCGTGCACGGTAACTGTGCAACTGTGTACTTCACTTCACTTGCACAACAGTTGACAAAATCTAAGTCATTGATCTCAAGCATTCAATGGCACAGATCTGACCATGTACTCTTTATTGATTAATCATTACTATTACTATTATGTAATAAAATACAATAATGCAGGAGATTCTGTTGAAGGCTGGATATGTACCTTCGAACACCGTTAAATATCCATTGAAAGACATCACTTCAGCCATTAAAAATGCTCTTGGGGTAACCCCAATTGTGAAATGCAATGGCCATAGTCCTATCAGAGAAATTCAGATATGTTTCGACAAGACGCTCCAGGTTAATTGGAACCACCTGGAACCTCATCATCATGAAATTGATTTATATATGTTAAAATGGAATCTCTCATCTAATCTCATATACTTAATCTTCTCACAGATTGAAGAATGCCCAACCTATGCACCATCAAAATGCCCTTCACGTGTTAAATTACCAATAAAGAATGTAACACAGGGTAAGTTTTCTTCATGTATACTTTAAATTAGTTATACATAAAATTTCTTGAAATTGATGAGTTAATTTAAACTTCTTTTTTTTTTTTTTTTTTTTTTTTTTTGTGCGGGGGTTTCAGTGCCGGAAACAACGAACTACCTTTCATTCCGCGGTTCGCTCAATTGGTAGATCGCCAAATGCAGACTGTCCCTTGATTTGCTCTCTCAAGATGGTGTATCGCAATAATGCTATGAGTTGCTATATGATCAAAATTTATTTAAAACTTATCGGGATGTTGTAAGCAAACTCTTGTAATGAATGTTGTACTAACAATAAATATGGTCAAGGGTTCAGTCAGCTAATATTACGATCATTTAGATTCGACAAATTATCTTTTAGTTTCAATCAGCGACAATTAAATAGAAAAATATTATATGTATTCTCATTATTTACTCCATTTTTTTCACCCCAATACGTAATAATGTGATCAACTAAGTCGGCATACACAAACTAATTAACTACAAAGAACCAAGAACCATCCTGTTAACAAATGTAGGAGCCGCCGCCACCATCACCCTAATACCAGAAATCAAAATATTTCCACCTATAAGTCTATAACCATCAACCTATCTAGTAGAGGATAAGATGTTGGTGTGAAGAGGTGAAGAAATAACCTTAATCCCCATAATTGTTGAAAGGGGAAGAAACTATTTTGAGCATGCCCAATCTCGTTTACTTTATGTATTTACAATATGGAAATATGGTCGCGTTCAGGTGTGAATTGCTCGCCCAGGAGAGAACTGAGAACCATCCAGCGCGCGTCTATGTGTCCAGATCTAAGTGCACCTAACGTTATAACTAGGTCCACTTATAGTTATAAATAGGTGTACCTAGGTGCATGAATGTTTGCGGGTGATTTTCACAGGTACTAACTACTCGCTGAACTCCTTCACAAGAACAAAAGCGATGCCAAACAGAACGAACTCAGATCAATTAATGTTAATAAGGCAAAATTACATGCACTTGTAGGTGAAAGTAGGTGCACTTGTAGGTGAAAGTAGGTGCACTTGTAAGTGATTTTACCTGTACTTTTTACTTGTAAAGTTGCATCAACTACATGCACATATAACACATTTACATTCACTAAAAGGACACGTGGCGCGCGCTGGATAGTTCTCAATTCTCTCCTGGGCGGCCATTCGCATGAAAGTGCGCCCCTCTATATATATATATATATATATATATATATATATATATATATATATATATATATATATATATTATAGCTTAGTATAAATTCTGTGTAAATCTATTCAGAATATATCAATTCCAAAAACTTATTTCCTCATTTGGTATCAGCCTAAATACGATTCTATGACGACTCAAACTGATCTCCTCGTCCCACCCACTGCCGAGAATACACCGACCGACTCTTCCACCGCCGTTGTACCTCACTCCGACACCCGGTCTTCTAATATGCTCCAACAGGCACATCACTATGTGTCCATTAAGCTGACGACGCAAAACTATCTGTTCTGGAGGGCGCACCTAGTCCCATTCTTGCGATGCCAAAATCAGTTCGGCTTCGTAGATGGCACCAATGCATGTCCGCCGGAGTTCCTTGCCGCTTCCTCGTCTCTACATGAGGATTATGGACGGTTATTGACCTTAGATTTTAGTTTGATCGCTATTGTTTTTTCTTTATTTTTGGGAATATTTTTTCCCTTATTTCCACCATTTTACTGTGGGGGCTTTTTTGTCTTTGTTTTTTTTTTCCTTTTATTTGTTTATTTTTTTCGATCATGGGCATGTTTTTATCTCTCTTAAATATAGTAATTATGGATAGTGCAGATTCACATTCTGATTTCCCGTTCCTTTTTTTTTTCTTGTTCCTTTATAGTGTTGTGTCTTTTTTGTTCCTTTATGCTTCTTCATTTTTCGTGGTTTCTTTATACTTGCGCTTGGGATTATGAGTTCTCCAGGTTTTTTTTTTTTTTTTTTTTTTTTTTGTTTGTGTTCATTTTATAATTTCTGTGCGTCAGTATGTTTTGTTTTTGTGCATAGTAATGTATTTCTGTGTTTAATATATGTGTTTTGCTGTGGTGGATGCAATGGGTTTTTGGGGTTTTCAATTATTACGATGTTGACGTTACTTTTTTGATTATCTACCGGCGATGTTTATTATTTAGTTATTTATTTATTGTAATGATTAATGCTTTTTTTTTGTTAATAGAAGTCTGTAGGATATAGTTTAACTGTGGGTGTTAATTATTGGTTTAAAATTTGTCTTGGTGTGGTGCAGGTTTTTTTTTTCTTAATTTTCGTTTGATATTCTCATTTTTTTTTTTGTATTGTGCAATATATATTACTTGGTTGTTGCATTATTCAATTTCTTTACTTTTTTTTATTTCCCCTTTTTTCATTTTTTTAAATATGTATGTTGTGATTTGGTATTTCTTTTTTATTTTTTATCATCCTGATTTGTGGCGTCTTGTGTGTTGTTTTTCTTGGTTTCTATTTTTTTTTTTTTTTGTTACTTGTGGTTGGTGGTCTTTGTTACGAATTGTGCATGCATTTGTTTATTCTTTGTGCACGCATATCTAGTTATTGTAATGGCTAATGTTTTTTTTTTATGTTAGAAGTTTTTATAATATAGCTTAACTGTGGGTGCTAATTTTTGGTTTAAAATTTTTATGCCGTTGGTCGGGCTATCGTTTTCTATTTTCGTTTGATATCCTCATTTTTTGTATTGTGCAATACATATTTGTAGGTTATTGCATTGTTTAATTTTCTTTGTTAATCTAATTCTTTTGTTTTTTTTTTCGTTGTTAACATTTGTATGCTGTGGTTTGGTATTTGTGTTTTATTTTTTAACATCATGTGTCTTGGCGTCTCCTTTTTTTTTTACTTGTTTTTTTGTCGTTTTTTATCTATTAGTTATTTGTGGTGGGAGGTCTTTGGTACGTATTGTGATTCAATTTCGTTATTACTTGTGCATGAGTTTTTTTTTTTTTTAAATCCAGTGTTTTGGATTTTTTTTTTTTTGTTTTGACCTATTTATTTTTTGTATTTGCGTGTGCATTTCGGTCAGGATCTCTACAGGCTTGCGTTATGGACGTGTCTCCAAGTGGGACTAAGTACTGGAATCTTTCGTGTGATGAGGCTGTCAAGCCTTTTGAGGGTCAGCTTTTTCCTTCTCTTGATCATGGTATTGCTTTTTATCGACATTATGCATCTGTTGTTGGTTTTTTACGTACGTTGTAGTACGGTGCGTAGGAATAGAGAGGGCGTTGTGTTTAAGGACTTGTTGGTTTGTTCTCGTGAGGGGTTCAAGCAGTCTGGCAATGTATCAGGTGTTGGGAATGATATGTTGGATGAAGCGCCTTTGGCTAAGAAGCGTCGAGGTGTTTCTAATAGGGTTGGTTGCAAAGCGAGGTTGTACTGAAGATGGTTGATGATGAGTTTTTGTTGTTCGTTACGTTGAGCACCGCCATAATTATTGTTTGTGCTCTGATGTGGCTAAGCCTTTCTTGCGGGTTAACCGTAAGATGGATTTTCAGCTCCAAGATTTGCTTATTAAATGTTCCAGGGCTAACGTTGGGCCTAAAAGGTCATTTCGGTTGGCTAGGGAGTTTGCTGGGTCGTATTCTAATATTGGTGCGACATGTGTTGATTTTAAAAATTTGAAGCGTGATTTGATGGCATATATTGGTACTTCTGATGCTAATATTGTTGTGAAGAAATATGTTACTAAGGTTGATGGTTGCCCAGACTATTTCTTTGCCTATGATTTGGATGCTGAGGATAAGTTATGTGGGTTGTTTTGGGTTGATCCTGTTGCGAAGTAAAATTTTGCGGCTTTTGGTGATGTAGTGTCGTTTGATGCTACATATGGGACCAATAGGTAAGTCACGCATGTTTTTTGGAAAACGTTTTTGCGTGTTTCTTTGAATTTTCAAATTTTTGTACGCTGTGCATTTTTGTTTTTTATCTTTGTGCATGCAGTGTTTTTTTGTTGATGGTTTTAAGCATTTTAGGTGTTTTTGGTGTGTTTTGTAAGCACATAATCCACGTGATAATTAATAAATACGTGGCTATTAAAACAGAGTTTAGATCACCAACCTCCAGCCATAGCTTTAGGTCTTGATTTCCAGGGACTCGTGGTCTGATGAACAGAAGTTCCTCGGACTGCTGTAAAATCTCCGTAGGTTTTAGTTGTGTTTCTCTCACTTCTCTCAGTGACTCTAGATAGGTGTATGATACGTCAACCGAGCAGTGAGAGGACTTGGGAGTCTAAATAACCTACATCCCATCAATGTAGGTAACTAATTACCTAATGCTGGCTAAGTTCTAATACTTAGTCAGCCTATTGATTTGCACCACTTATTCAATATTATTATTGTTATAATAATCTTAATAATAATAATAATAATAATAATAATAATAATAATAATAATATTAAGGGAAAACGTTACATTCTCCTACTTGGTGCAAATACGGAACCCAAGAACAAGATTTACACCAACCATAATGACATGTCCTCCTTAGCGCAAGTAATATCCATTATGATCAAATGCAAACTATCCCTGAGTCCTTTAAGTAATCAAACTTAATGAAACAAACCATATGTTCATTTCAAGTCCACTGAAGTATATTTTCTTATTGAGATAAACTGAATTGTGTACACACTCAAAGAAAATATCTAAAGTAGCTGAAGAAAAACTTAAGTGCAAAAGAATTTCATTATTAAACTGAATGTATATACAAAATTACAAAGTTGACGAAAGTCCCATTTTCTGAATCAGATCCTTGAACTTAGACGGAGGTATGCCTTTAGTCAAGGGATCTGCTAGCATCAACTCAGTATTAATGTGTTCAATGAATACAACTTTATTCTTGACACGCTCCCTAATGGCTAAGAACTTGATGTCGATGTGTTTACTTCGACTCCCACATTTTTCGTTCTTAGTTAGGAAGACTACAGCTAAGTTGTCACAGTAAACTTTCAATGGCTTAGATATAGAATCCATAATTCTAAGCCCGGAGATAAAATTCTTGAGCCACACACCTTGCGAAGTAGCCTCAAAACATGACACGAATTCGGCTTCCATGGTAGAAGTAGTTATTAAGGATTGTTTAACACTTCTCCATGAAATTGCCCCACCAGCCAATATGAAGACGTACCCGGAAGTTGATCTTCGAGAATCAACACAGCCAGCGAAGTCCGCATCAGAATAACCAACAACATCCAGGATGTCCGTCTGCCTAAAACCCAACTTGAAGTCTTTAGTACCTTTTAGATACCTCAGAACTCTCTTCACAGCTCCCCAGTGATCCAAGCCTGGATTATGCAAGTACCGCCCTAACATACCAACGGCAA